GAACCAATCCGCCGCATTTTGGACGAATGCATGATAACGAGCAAACGGTTGCAGATTAATTTTTTCCAATCCGCCTAGTTGTAGACGGATGACGGATTTAAGGTTCCTTTGGCCGCAACTGAATCACCAAATCGCAAGCACCCTTAGTAATTTATAAGACTTTGTATTTTCAATTTGTTTAGATATTCTGATTATATTTTCAATTGACAAATAGTTTAAATATTCTGTTTAATATATTTTGTTGAAAAAAAGTTTTCAACTTGAATATATTTTTTGAATTGAAAAAAATTAATGTATTATTTATTTATATTTTTTGATTTTTCAATCTAACTCTAAAAATAATAAATAGAAACTTGATATATGTTGGTTGATTTTTATTTTTAAAAACAGATATAGATGTAACAATATAGAGACATACAATCTCTATTAGTGCTTTGTTCATAATTTTGGTGATTTGAATTGTTTTTATATTTTAAAAACCACAGATTGTAATACTTTATGTGGATGAGACATGTTATAATTGTAATATGTGGATGAAGCATGTAATGATTGTAATATTCTAAAGTTTCAAACTTTCTTTCTTTGAATAAGACATGCGGTGATTGTAATACTTTTTTAAGTCATTGACTATAATACTTTTTTCTTTTTTTTTTAGGAAGTGTACAAGTTGAATTATGTTAAAAATTTATAAATTTTAAACCGCTAAACCGATTCGCACCCATCCGTCAATCCGCCAATTCGCTCAATCCACATCTGCTAGATTGGTGGACGGATAAAAATTTGATTTTTTTTAATCCGCTAATCTGACAGACGGATGACAGATTAAAAGTTTCGTAGCCACAACCAACCCGTACCCATTCCTTCCTGTGAATCACTTTAGGATTGTGAAATCCTCCCAAGAAGAAGGCTCACTCATTTTTCATATTTTTTTTATAAAAGCTTATTAAATTCTTTACTTTATAGATACGCACGCTAATATTTAAATATAAAAAATAAAAATGAAAGGTCCGAGGCTTCTAATATTTTTTTTTCAAGTTTAAACATCAATGACATCCATGATGATGCAATAACATCTAATTCTTTATTAATTGTCACACCCAACTATATAATATCCAAATGGGTTGGACAACCAATGATAAATATCTATATTAATTAATTAATTAATTAACATATAGGAGTCTGATCTTTTAGGAATTTTGTTAAACCAATCAAACCTTAAGCATGGAACTGATTCTTTTAATAATCATGTGTTTGTTTGTTTGTCTCTTTCTTTTTTTTTTTTTCTGTTTTTTCTTTTTTTTTTTTTGGGGGGGGGGGGGGGGTTAATAAACACAAACCCTCTTAAAATTTTAAAAATATATATATAACTAATTTTATACTTTTGACATAATTATACTAATCTTTCTTAAAATTTTAATTTACATAACATATAGATAATTTTTTATCAATTTTTTGTGAGTTGTATGAATAAAAAACTAATGTTATTATCTCTTTCTTACTAAAATATAAGTTTATCTTTATTTATTTCAATGATTACCAAACATTAACATTAATTTCAATTGTTTTGATCATACTAAAAAAATTAATATAATTATGTCAAAAAGCTTATAGTAACTGTATTTTTTTAAAAACTTTAAATGAGATTAGTGTAATTTACTTTTTTATTTTTTATATAAATTAAGTGAAAGTCAGCTGGTCTAGATTTATCCATTCAGATTTTTTTTAGGTGAATAATTATGCGATAAAAATTAATTTATGTGGTGTAAATTTATGTAATGTGATGAAAATTAATTTTTAAATAATTTTTGAATTAATAAGGATAGATTTGTACTTTTATTCATAAATTAATGAGTAATGATACATTTCTTAATTTTAAAACTTTAATTGAACTGTAACAATGTGACAAGAAATAAAAAAATTAAAAAAAATAAGATCAAAACATCACATTATAGTAAGACTGGAGCTCATTAAGGCACCGTTTGGGAAGAGGATTTGAGAGTTTTTTTCGATATTTTAGCTATAAAAGACAAAATAGATTATTTTAACCACAACAAACAAAATATCACATCCAACTCATAATCATTACACTATTCTCTCACAAATAAAAGCAAAAAAACTAAAATATCATTCTCAAACCAAATTTTTTAACACAAACTAAAATAATCAAAAAAATCAAAAAATTAAAAAACTAACCTACTTTCCAAATGAAGCCTAACTTTCTTTATTAGAGTAAAAAATGTTAAAAAACTGAGCTTTTACTGGTAAGTCCCATTTCGTGATGTGATTTTTTTTTTTTTTCTTTCTTTCTTTCTTTTCTTTTCTTTTCTATTCTTTTCTTTTTTCTCTTTTTCTTTTTTTTTTTTTTTCACCGCCAGACTTTAAAGCTGCTGATTTAAAACTCTGAATCAAAACTGTTATTAGAGCTCTCAATTATTTATTTTTATTGGGCGCTGATTGAGGGCCCGAGGCTTCGGGGCTCGAATGCCCCGAAATGCCATTTTAGGTAAAAAAAAAAAAAAGGGAAAAAAAAAAGAAAAAAAAAACAATTTCCAAAAATAGAAATTAGGGGTATTAGGGCCAACTTTTTTAGGGCCACCAATCATTTTTCATTTTTATTTTGTAAATTAATATGTATGCATTTGTCTTTGTCTGTTTGATGGTGTCCTTTGAAGCTGCTTTTAGGTTAAGACGATAAGTCACTCTCCTCATAATAATAGCAGTGTCTGACTGCTTTTGGCCAAAGAGTACTGATTCAAAGGACACAGATGAGTGTGACAATTCATCACCATCCGATGATATTTCCCAGAACAATCCCAATTTGGATACCTTACATTTCTTTGCTTCTCTCTCTTGATTTATCTCGCTCTTTCTCTCTCATCTCAAATTATTAATCACCAGTACTACTAATTTTTATTTTTTTAACGAAAAAATAAATAAATTACAAATACACCTCTAAAATTTACTTAAAGTATCAATTACCTTCTATAATTTAAAAAATTACAAATATTCTTTTATTAAAATTTTTTATTTAACAGAATTAATTAAAATAAATTTATAATTACTCTCCTATACAATAATAAAATTACTTAAATTATTAATTAAAACATATTTATAACATTATTAAAAATTATCAATTGATTTGGTAGTTTATTTATAAAAAAAACGATTTGTTATGAAATTAAAAACCCCTCAAAAGTTAAAATATAATTTTCAGAGCCACAAATAACAATTTATATTTTATTCAAATCTCAGAAAAAGTGTATGTAATTTACCCAAAAAATAAAAAAAGATGCTCCAAAACAACATTTCTGATACTACAGCACACTTTACTAACAACATTTATGTATCGAATTTTTGCATAGAAAAATATATCATTTCATGGATCTCTCATTTGAAATTTAAACACTCGCCACCTTCTTTTTAATGTAATTTTTGTAACCAATGTTCATATATGATTTCATGATTTCCCAAAAAATCATTTGTTACTTCATTCTGAATAGTTATGGAAGAGGATAGGATAGGACATGGTGAGGGGTTACTAGGGAGGAAGTTGAAGGGGAGGGTGGTGCGAGCTGCAGAGGACGTACTATTGATGAGTTAGGGTTAAGGTTAACAAAGATGAAAATAGATAAGTAGGTGTCAAACGAGTAACATTTTTTTAAAAAAATAATAATTAAAATGGTGCATATATATATATATATATATATGTGTGAATAGAGTAATGATATGCGTTGAAAATAAGTGGTGTGTAAATAAAAATTTCCTACCACTTGCAACCAACAATATTCACATAAGCAATGAGCATTGTAAGATCCACATGCTCAAAGTTTTTAAATGAACCCAATTAGTCAATTTTTCATTCGCTAAAGTAGAGAATGTTAGGTGAACATGCTAAATATAATTTTTTGATAAAAAAAAGATTCAGAAAGATAACAAATGGCGACAAACAAGTATACCAACTTACATGAAAAAATAAACAAAGCAAATAAACAAAGGTACCAAGGATATGAGCAAAGAAAGTACATACAGTTATGGATAACCTCAATATAAACTACAGCTATACTGGGATCTGCAGCAATAAATATTATATATATATATATATAAGCCCTGTTTCACAAGTTAAATTTTAACTTTTTTTGAGCTAAAATTCACAAAAAAAAAAATTAATTAAAATAATCAATAAGATAAAATATCACATCAAACTCAATTATTCACTTTTTCTCTCACAAATATTACATTCAACTATAAAAAAATTCAACCATCTTTCCAAACACAAAAATTTTAACTTACTAAAATAACTAAAAATTAAAATAACCTACTAAAATAATCAACTTTCCAAACAAGGCCATAATATGCAGAAAAAAATAACATAATTTTAAACTCAGTCATAATTTTTTTAAAAAAAAAAATCATAACTAAACATCACATGAAATATAATCAAACATCTCATAAATCATAACTAAAATATTATGATAATCAACCAAAAAACAAAAATAGTTATAATTTAAAAAAAAATAATATAAATAATCCATTCATGGTGGTGTGCATAATAAAATTTCCCATAGATCAACAGTACAGTCAGAATAAAGCAAATCTAGTTCAAGATTTCACCTGTATGTTTTGTTTGACTGAGGATATCATCTCATCATTTCCCATGGAGATGAGACTTCAAATTTTTTTTGGGATCTAATTTATAATCCTAGTTCAGACCAAGAGATTAGCCCTAATTAAGATAAGACGTCATCTTACCAATGAGAAATTTAATTTCAAATCTCCTAACCCTATTATCTCCCATCAATTGTAAAAGTAATATAAACTTGTCATCCCATGAACTAGAACTTCAGCCATTCAACCTACTGTCTCTTGTCTCTAACACCAAGAAAAAAATTCTCCAAATCCCAGATAAGACGACTACTAATCATGGCCAGAAATCTGGAAAAACCTAAGCCAACTACTAATCATGGCCTATCCCTAACATAGTTATGTACTCTTGATTTATGTTTTTGGTATGATTTTGGGAGGGAAACAAAGCTCAACGCATTGAGATCTTTACATGATTACAATTAGGACACATCATCTATAATAATGCTTGTTGAATATATCAAAATAATACTATAAGAATCAGAAGAAAAAAAGGGGTTAAGAGGGTCTCATGAGAGAGTGGAACCCAATCTTATGGAGCCAATTTTGGGGTCTTGAGAACTGCTGTGGGAATCCTGATGATGCTGCAGCAGTTGCAAACAATTGTGGAGGATTGAGCTGCCATTGCTGATCGCCTGAGGATAGAGAAAGGTCTCCTCCCGTCCGTCCGCCTCCGTTGCTGCTGCTTGGATACTGAATCTGCAAAACAACATTCCAATGGTCAATTTAAGGGTCTAATTATAAATCCGGTTACGAACTCTAGGATTTTAAATACCGGCCAATACAATACTGACGGGCCGATCGAGATTTTTGACCTTTCAATAATGATATCATTTGATATATCAGCCAAGCCTAATATCGGGCAATTTCAAGATTTTTTTTACTTCCGATACCAATACTCACCAACATATCAGCCGACATTGTCGGATATTGGCTAATAGGGAATTTCACTGTCGGCTATTGGCTAATAGGGAATTTCACTTCCAATATTGATTTATCAGCTGCCGACATTATATCGGTTGATTGGGATTTTTTTTTAACCTTTCGATAGAAATGTTCACCGATATATCAGCTAAAAATGTCCAATATCGGCTGGATATGTAAATGGATCACTTATTCTGACACCATCATTTAACACAATGTATATCAGAAAAGGAGTGTAGTTTGAGATAACCGACTTGGTAGTTTGATGAGCTGAGTTGTGGTGGAAACATGTGGTGCTGCATTGGGGGTCCAGACCCTTTGGCGAATTGCCCATATTTGTGCATGTCATTAGCCTTCTGCAGTGAGCTCGGCAATTGAATGTGAGTTTGGTTCAGAAGCTGCATGGTTTCAGTCTCATTGTACCCACCACTACCATGTCGATATGGTTCTTGATGCATATTTATCTTGGTTCCCATGAAAATAAAATAAAATACAGAATTAGCATAAAGGGTGCAACTAAAAAACTTACTAGGATTTTAGACTTTCGATATTGATATTCACTGATATATCGGCTGAGCAGTATCCAAATACCTTTGGCATAAATCCCCGATTGTGCCAATCAACCTCGAACGCCATGGCAGCATGATGCTGATCCGCTGCAACGTTTTGGACATCACCTCCCAATTCCTGGCTGCCTTGTTTTGAGGCTGAAGTTCTGCTGCCCAAGCTCAAATCCAAATTGTGGTCTGGGGCATTGCCCGAACACTCTGTGCAACATATACACAATCAAAATCGATACAAACACAATGTATGTTGAAAACATTAAAAACCAAAAACACGGATTGATCTTCCATCAATACCATTCAGTAGTCATAAGAAAAAATTTCTACTAATTACCGGCAGAATTAAGCTCGTCATCATAGATGCTTGGATCAAAGTTGGTCACCGCCTCTTTGCCATTGCACTTGATCGCAGCTTTATCATAAGCCCTAAACAAAAATACCAGAAATTTCAAGCCCAACTAACTTTAGAAATTTAAAATTGAAAACAAAAGCACCAAAAATACACACCTTGCGGCTTCAATTTCAGTATCAAAAAGCCCCAAATAGACATACCTGTTTAATTTTGATACAACATACATAAGCATTATCAGTCTAAAAAAAAATAAAAACTTAAAAAAGACCAAAAGGCTAATTGAGATTGGGAATGATTGATATTAAAATGGGGTTTAAACATAGTTTTAAATATATCGGCTGATAACAGTATCGGGCGATATATGTCTGTTCTCCATACGGATCGGCTGCTATTTAAAACACGGGTTAGAAAGGATGTGATGAGAATGATATACTGTTACTTTTTGCCCAAAAACTGGCCCATTCTTGCCTCCCATCTTCCACATTTGTGCAAGGTAACACCTCTATATTTGGAGCTTCCTCTAGGGAACCCAGTACTTTGTCTCCTCAGTACATGCACAAATTCCTCCTTTGTTAAATTACTCATCTGTTTTGCACACAAACAACATTACAAGAATCTTCACTCTCTCAGAGTCATATTTTTTCCATAAATTTTCATAGAAGAAGAAAAAAAATGTACAAAGAAAATAATAAATAAATAAAAATCAAGAAAAAAAACAGCTACGGTGAAAGAAAAACAAGAGTCCTTTCTCTCTCTACCTGTTTTAAGTCATCTCCATAATCTTCAAGGCTGAAATTTATATCTGCCTCGACTCCGCGGAACTTGATGGCTGCCCTATCATATGCACTGAAAATTTTTCTACATATCAATGTCAAGTTTTCCAGAGAAAAGGGTCAAATTTTATCGGGAATATTAGTAAGCTTACCGTGCTGCGGCGTGTGCAGTGTCGAATCCACCTATAGAGACATTCAAGAACAAACCCATCTCACCCATGTCAGAAAACAAAAACCAAAAAAAATAAAACTAGTTTTTCTTTTTCTTCATAATCAAAACAAAAGAAAAAAAATAAATAAGAAAACATACCCAGATAGACTTGTTTTCCACAGTCCCTGAATCAAAAACAATGAGAAAATTTGATTGAATTTTCAAAAATGGAAATTAAAAAAACAAAACAAAAGTGTGATTGTGATCTGCAAAAAGAAAAGTAATTAACTAACCATATATGAGACTCCCACCGCCCGGTCCGCCGGTAAAACGTGACGCCTCTGTACTGTGAGCTTCTCGACCTCGGCCCACGGCGGCTCTTCTTCAGAGGCTGCGAAAGCTCCACCGATTTTCCGATTCCGCCGCCGCCAGCGCCGCCGCCGATGAGTGGACAAAATTTAACTCCGACCCAGTGAGCCCTCGGAAAATTCGACCCTCCTCCGCCGCCGCCGGAGGTGGTCCCCATTTCGAAATCCTCCACCGGGAAGAACTGACGGGTCACCGGCAGGTCGCTCTCCGATACCGAGAACCCGAATATCTTGCTGCAGCTCCGCTTCCGACCGCCTCTGTCACCGCCGTCGTCATCGTCGGAGGCTTCTTCGATTACCACAGCGGAGGAACTTGAATTGGATACGGATCCGACCCGTTTTCCCTTTTCGTCGTCTCCGGGAGAAGAACAGCCTTCGGATACATCGTCTCTGATTCTCTGATCAGGCGAGTCGTTCAGATCCCACATTTCTCTGTCGAGAAAATTTTATGGAAAGAAAAAATTCCTATTTCTTGGTCTAGTTTCTCTCTCTAAATAGATATAGTGGGGAATATAATAATTGATTAAATGGGAACACTTTTTTTGTTTAGTGTTTGAAACAACAACATATGCTAAAACCTAAGACCAAGAAAAGAGAGCTATATGTGTTTCTTGTTTATATGTTGTGAAAAGGAAGTAGGAGGGAGGAGGAGAAGGTGGGGTGGGGTGGGGAAGCATGGACAAAGCCCAGTTTGAGGAAGCTATATGCCCCTCTCTCTCATCTTTTTCCTCTTTTTCTCTCTAAAACCTCTCTCTATCCCTCAACTTTTTCCCCTCTCAAAACCCTTTTTGTTTTTTTATTTTTAAATCATTCATAAATTCATTCATACACTTCGTTTCTCTCTCTAGAAGTGTAATATATCTCTTTGTCCCTTTGGGTTCTACTAGTCTCTCTATCTCTCTCTACTTTACTGATATGAAAACACTTCTCTCTCTTGTTTTTATCTCTTTCTTTAATTTCTCATTGGTTGTTCCAAGGAAGTTCCAGTAATGAGAGAGGAAAAAAAAAATGGGAAACAGGGAAGAACCAAAGAAAGAACCATCTCTTTCTTACACAACTTTCCGACGTTAACCAAATCGAAAAAGCAGCCCCCTTCTCTCTCTTTCTCTTCTTTTCTCTCTCTCTATCTATATTACCCACTACTAATATAGAAACAGACAGGACAGAAGACTAATAAAAAGATGGCTAATTTACTCAGTTACCTTTATTAGTTGTACTTAATTAGTATCACTTCAATTCCATCCATTCATTCATTCATTCAACAGTAGAGAAGAGAGAGAGTGGTGATGATTTTCTTTCACGACCCACATCACAAGTCACCTCTCTTTGCTTTTTTGCCAAATTTTCTTTTTCCCTTTCCTTGTTTTTACTTTTCCTGGTTTTTACCATTTGGGAGGGGGGGTGGAGTAAATTGGGGGAAAAAGGAGGGGTAGTTTGGGGAGAAGGGTGAGGGAATTATTGGGTGAGAGTGAGGTGGTGCAGGGAGGAAGGGGGGATGTTAAGGGGGTGTTTGGGCGATCAGAAAAGGGAAAAAGGAAACAATGGGAGAGGAAAAGGAAAACTTTCCAGAAATGTCCAATCCAAGAGTACAGGAAGGGCCCACCTCATTTGCCGCTTTTGTTAAAACTAGCGACTAATGGCTTCTCTGAGCCCTCTTTGTGTGTGTACCTCGTATTTATTAACCCCACTTTGCCTATTTCAACCCCTTCTTCCCCGCTTACCTAATTCTCTCTTTCTTGGCGCGTAGTCTTCACAACTTCATCCTTTGGATAAAAATAAACGGATATTATACCGAGAGAGTGTATTTGTTTGGACGGATTGGATAAAGAAGGATTGTAATTCATCGAATTATTAGTCTTGAGATATATTATCTTCGGACTATTTAGTTAAATTAAATTTATATTTTAATCATAAGATTAGATGTCTTGATTTGACTATTTTTAATATTTTGTTAGGATGGATTAGATAAATATTTAAAATAACAAATTTTACCCTGTATAATTTATAATTTTATTTAATATAATTAAATTTGTAATCTATATTTATACATTAACAATATAAAAACAATTTTAATTTGATAAGGCCATAATTTTAATTTATTATTTTCAATTAACATTAAATTTATTAATTACATTTTTTTATGTAATATATATATTCAAATAACAATCACTAAAAAAAAATTTTATTAATATATAAATTAATTTTTTAACAAACTAAAAAATTTAATTATAAGGCCATAATTTTTAATTATTATTTTAATTAAATTAAAATCTAATTATAATTTATATTTTTTATTTAATATATAATTTTAAATTAACAACACTAAAAAAATAATTTTATTTAATATATAAATTTAATTTTTTAAAAACACTAAAAAATTATAAGGCCATAATTTTTAATTTCTTATTTTTAATTAAATTTAAATAATTTATAATTTATATTTTTTATTTAATATATAATTTCAAATTAATAACACTAAAAAAATAATTTATAAATGTTTAAAAGACTATTCTACCCTTTTTCAATAGTTTATTAAGTAATAACATGAGGGTAAAATAGACATTTTATACATTAGTCCCATGGGGATGGAAATAATCTCACCCCTGCCCCTAGTATACAATAATCCCTCATATGAGGAATTAATAGTCCGGAGAGACTATTAATTCGGAGTAAAAAAATTGAACCAAACAATGAACTATTAGTCCGGATGGACTAGTAGTCCAATCCTATGAAATAATCTCTCAAAACAAACACACTCAAAGTGTTATGATATATACGACTGGTTTGCTAAGTTAGTTAAAAGTTAATTTTTGATTTTTAATTTATTTTTTATTATATTATTTTTCATATTTTTATTTATAAAAAGATAAAAAAAATCAACTTTTTAAAACGCCTCATATCATATGTATTTTATTATAAATTAATATAATTTTATTATAAAATTTGTAATATAATTATAAATATATAATTTTGTTATAAATTGACACAATAAAAACTATAATAATTAAGTCATAAATTTTTGATTTTTTTTATATTAAATTATGATGAGATTACATATTTTACCATTGATGTTACAAAAATTTATAATAAAATTACACTAATTTGTGACAGGATGAATGTGGTATGCATCCTTACGAGAGTGCACACCATAGGTTTTTCCTAAATTATATTTAGGAATGTGTTTGGATCAAGATTTGTGTAAGAATTTTAAAAAAAATAAATGAAATGTGTTTCATTCACATTTTATTATTTTATTATTTATGTTTTCAAATTTCTATTCAAATCAGTGGTATTTTAGGGAGTTGGTAAAAAATTAATTTTTTGAATTTTTTGTGACTTTTTAACTTTTTTATGAGAAAAAAATAAAGAGATAATATAACTCAAAACAATTAAAAAGTCAAAAAATTGACCTTTTACTATGTTGCCAAATTCAAACACAACATTGGGATTGGTTTAATAGTTTTTTGCCTTTTTAATAGTTTTTGACTTTGTAACTAAAATATGAAATGACAAAAATTAAAGGACTATTTTGAGAAAGTGGTAAAAATTAATTTTTTTTACTTTTAATCAAGATTTTTGAATTTTTCATAAAGTGACTTGAGAAGTTGGTAAAAAGTTATTTTTTTAGTTTTGTAGATAATATTTTTTTAAGTTGTCATGTCATGGTGTAGAACTATAGAATTATCAAAATACCCTCACCCAATGTAATATATTGCCATGCATGCACCAATTCTAATGGCAGTATCGTAATTTCACGTCTTTGATTATAATCAGAATCTCAAATCAGTTTTTGCCCAAAAACGCTGGCGTCCGCCGTCTGCGTTCTCACCCCAGACGCAGCGTTTTAATCTGTTGCCAAAATACCACAAAGTATTTGGAAATAATTTTTTAATTTTTTAATTTTTTATAAAGATAATGGAGAGCAATTTTTAACCCCTTTTTTATGAATTTTTTTTGAATTTTTGGATTTTTTTTTTTTATACTATTTTAGACGTTGACAAATGGAACCTTAGAGAGCGTTTGGCAATACCAAGAAAATGGAACCTTAGAGAGCGTTTGGCAACCTTAGAGAGCGTTTGGCAATACCAAGAAAAGACCCCCCACTTCCCAAACACCTACTATGAATGGCTGAGGCTAATCTCTACCACTATCCTCTATATTTCTTCATTTATTTATTTATTTTTATTTTTTTTTGTGAGTTTCATTTCAGTTCATAACGATGATCTAAATAATTCATCTCGTAAATTTTGTAACAACAATTGCTTGTGTAAAAAATTAATTTTATAAAATATCGATAAATAGATGATTAAATTGTATTTTTTTAATATAAATTTGACGATTTAAATTTAAATTTATAATTGCCATATATATACTTTTTAGAAAATTATTTGTGCATGTACCTACTGACAATGGGAAAGTCAGGATTTTGTTTCAAAAGAGGCACCTTTGAAATAAAATCTTAACAAAAATCATAATTTAACTTAATTTTTATTTGATGGTAGGACTAAAAATTAATGCGATGCAAAAATTATATTTAAATATAAGGTCAAGTTAACTAATCACAATCTTTATTGTTATTAATTTATTTTATATATGATGATCATCACGGTTTAAAAAATAATTACATATACCCTCATAAAATATGAATACAAAATTATATTAAGATAAACACACATAAAGAGATATAGTGAGGATAGAGAAATAAATGAAAAAATGATGAATAAATAATATACAAAGGCTATTATATATTACTTGGTTTTTTTCACCGTTTTGAATAATTGAATTACATGGCAATATATTATTAGTTGTCGTTAATTGTGTAATAATTATGTGTCATATAAGAAGTGATACAACATAGTGACAAAATATTAGTGATATATAACATATCTGTACTAAAAAATTTATAAGAATTTTTTTTAGCATAATTAAACATTTAAAGTGATAAACTAAACATTTTTTTAAAAAAAAAAGTAAAAAAAATAGTGATATAAAAATTTCAATATATTACTTGAATTAAATTGAAATATAAATTTTTATTAGAGGTAAAAAAATAATTTTCCAAAAGTTGAGGGGGCACGTGAACTCTTTAGGCCTCACGTGCCTCCGCCCCTGCCTACTGATATCAAATGAAATTGATTACTTGCACAACTTAATTTTATTATTAAACTTACAAGATGAATCATTCGAATCATTGTTGTGAGCACGAGATGAGATCTTAAAAATAGAATATGTAGAGAGGCTCAATTCAGTTCAGTGGGTTTTTAACAAAAGTAAAAAATAATTTCTTCTTTTTTTTCTGCATGTCCCAGACACATCATATATTTAAAAAAATATATAACAAACTTCACAGTCATAATATAATCAGTATTTTGTTTCCAATAACACATACACTAGCAGTGTTAAATTTGATATTTAAATTACTTTTTCACCAAATCCCAAGAAAAAAAAAAAAAACTTTTTCACTCTTATATTTTTATTTGATTGGGCAAGTACTATTGGACTTATTAAATTTGGCCCCATTTTGTTTTGTTTTGTTTTATTTTTTTTTTTAAAACCCAAAAGATCTTATTGACTTTGTTCTTTAATAGCTTAATTTTCATTTTCAAAATTTTAGACAAAATTCGAATTATTTTGTCCATTAGCTTGTAGCTCAGTGGGTCATGTTAATTACCTTTGCTTTTTCTTTTTTCTTTTTTCAAATTTTAAAATGTCATGAATTTTATTGTATATATTTGATTTTTTTATAAAATTTATGTGGGTGAATTACATTAGTTTCTCCTTAGATTTAAAGAATATACAATAAGTCTTAAGACTAGAGAGATCAGAATTAATATAAATAGTGTGAATACGAATAAATAGGTGTGTTTAAGTCAAAATTGTGAGGCTTATTTTTATTTTTATTTTTATTTTCGAAACTTAAGATAGATCAGTGTAATTTAACCAAATGGTTTTGGAACCTACTCGTGCAAATATATCAAACGAGATCAAAATATTGTGTGTAACTGATAAAATTTGTAATTCCTAAAACTGTTAAATTGCATGGTTAATAGTGTTGGAACAAGCTTCTGTGTAAAATAAATAACTTGAAACAAATCAAATAAATAAAAATAAATTATTTACATAATTTATTTTAAGAACCAAATAAATATTTAAAAGATCAAGTCGAGT